AGGCTTTGAATTGAATGGAACGATAAAGCAAGTATGGTATTTTGGAGAATAACACTTTTATGGCAAAGGTGTTAATTAAATATTTGTTACGATATATGGAAATAAGTGTTCAGTGTGAAAATCTCCGTGGAAAGGGGTGAACATAGAGAGACTTGCCTGTGGAACTGGCTATCACAGCTATGTCTGGACAGTCATTAAGGGGATTGTGTGGGTTAAGTGCTCTCTTTTTCTCTGGATGGGAATTAAATAGCCCCATTGGACACTGGATAGAGTCAAACCTACCGGAGGCTCTTTAGTTGCAGAAAAAATGCAGGAAGGGGCAGTTAATGCGTAGGCCCCCATCCAAACTAGCCCACACTTAGTAGACGGAACGTGAGCCCCATGCAGCCTGTAGGGCTAAGTGTTGAAAGAACAGGGCACCGGTAGGAGAGAGGAACAGGTAGTACGCTCAGAGGAGAAAGACAGAGGCTAAGGGTGAGAGAGAAGAGTTCTTGGGAACAGTGACTTAGTGGTGTCCTAACTGGGTTTTCTGGAAATGGCATTGGTGCAGTTTTGGCCACCTCCATTCAAAGTAATCAGGACATTTGTAAATAGGCAAATTACACTTGAAACTGCCACGAGTTTGACTTGCCAGTTTTTTGTTGGGGGAAAGTCTACTGCCACACATCAATTGCTTCACAAACGTGTCTCAAAAAGACAACAAGGTTCTGTTCTCTCATTTTGCACCCATTCGTTATAAAATGAGGGTGACAAATGCATGGGATACATTTAACAGGGCCATCCCACTGGAAATACTGGAGATGCACATGTTTATCCATTTGCAGCACGTTTTTATTTATAAACCACGGGTGTTTGGTAATGCAGCAGCACACGACATGGCCAGACAGGAAACCCAGCTCTGGAAATAGACTTCGTTTTCTCTTCAATGCAGCTGCAACTCTTCAGGAGTAAAATGTTTGTATGTGTACATGCAGGGAGCAAACTTAAGGCAGGTGTGGGGAGGATAATATTGGAAACAGTGCACAGGCTTACTGGCCTGGGTGACACCCTGAGCCTTTCCTGTCAGCAAAGACCAGATCCTTAGTCCCTGCTGAGTGGATTGAGGTACCACAGCATGCAATTCTTTGTGGCTCAAGGGTTATATTTGGAAAGAGGGTGTGAGAATCTGTCCTGAATTATATATTTTAATCACGTCCCTTTTCAAGCTTGGAAAAATATATAGCCCTTATAGCGGGAGACCAGTATGTACTTTATAGATAGCATATTAGTGCCATCTAGTGTTCTCCATTAGTATGCCTTTAAATTTCAGTTATTAGACAAATATTTTCTTGAGCCATCCTGAATGGGCTGAGTTCTTTAATGCATAGCGCATACGCTGGATCAGTGCCCACACTCAGTCCTTTTCTTTTGTAGGCATTTGAAATAACTAGCAGTTCAGCTCAAGCCGGGCCATTCCTAGGGTTTCCCTCCTGGACATTCCCCCCTGTTACCGACATGCCCTTTCTTCCTTTTGTGACATTTGAATAACAAACAGGGTCTGTGTTTCCCTGCAAAGCAGGTGAAGAAGAGTATAAAATACCCTTAGTTTATTATGCACTAGTGGGCATCAAAAAGAAACCATAGAGTGTCCCAGTAATAACTCTTAGCTCTGATATAGGGCATTGCATTTTCAAAGTGCTTTGCAAACATTAGCCAATTCTCCCAGCATCGTGTGAGGCAGGGAAGAATTATTGCTCCCATTTTAGGCATCAGGCAATTGTAATACAGGAAAGTTGCACAGGGAAATTAAGACCCAAAGGTTTAAAAGGGCACTGAGCACTTTTGGGTGTGCAGAACTCTCAACGTGCGGAGGGTGAGATACGTAGGCACCTGCGGGGAGTGAAGATTTTGTGCTCATTTGTAAAATAAATAATTGGGCCTACGCAACTTGCCCAAGGCCACAGACATAATGGGCCCTATTGTCTGTTATCTCTTTCCTGCACTTGGCACAGGAAAGCAACTGGAAGTGGTTTAAATCCCATTGGTTTCAATGTAAAATAGAGTAAAATATTACAGAACTTGTGTAAGTGTGTCAAAAATCTGGCTTTTTACTGTTATATGCAATTATTCTCCTATTTGGTTTCTCTCTGTTCTTCAGGAGAGCTTCATATCTGATCCTTTTTGTTTAGTTTGCAGTACTCCCCCGGTCAACATGAAAGTGCAGCCTATGAACAGAACAGCCTTGCTAGTAACTTGGAACCAACCAGAGATCATCTACCACCCTCCCATTATGAACTACATGATCTCCTACAGCTGGACTAAAAATGAAGATGAAAAAGAGAAGACTTTCACCAAGGACAGTGACAAGGACCTGGTAAAACTACAGCATCAGCAATTGACCTTAGTCTTAAGCTAGCCTTATACTATACTTTCCTCAGTAGGAGAAGGTGGGGTACGAAAGCATTTGTTCTGTTTAAATGAACGGTTAGTTTTTTAAATTGCAATGGATTGCTTTTCACACATTCAGTGCTAGTTGAATTCTACATAGCACATCGCCCAGTATACCAAAGTGTTAATTTATCATTCACATGGTGGGCACAAAGGGAAATGGGTAGGCAGATATTTTTTTTTATATACTGCTATTGAAAACTACCTGGCTTGGGAACTAGCTCCACTCACTCTGAAAAGCTTTTTGGCTTATGTGCAACTCACTGGTTTCACAGTAAGGACTGATCATGCAAAATCTATTACTGGACCAGTGCTTCCCACAGTGCATAGCCCATTGAAGACTATTGGGATGTCCCTGGTAGTGTTTGCAAGATCAGGGCTTGGGAGCTGGGGATGGCAGTGGCCCAGACTGCAGTATTAAAAAGGAAGAGTGCCGTAGATTTCACTGCTGATGAGATAATAGAGGGAAGGGCAGAACAGTTTAGGTGAATGTGGAAATACCAATCCACCAGCTCCATGGATCTGTTTGTCATTCTTGTCCAAGTGGAAGCAAATACTGTACTAGTCTTTAACATTCTTTGCATATAAAATCAAAGTTATATATTCAGGTTTGAAAGGCCTCCGTTTATTGTTAATCAAAGGAAGTCTCTGGAATAAGGAAATCAGTAATTGTATATGCACATGAAAATGCAGCCGCGCTGAGAGAAATTCCTAATGACTGTTATTTTTTTTCAAATACGCAGTCCTCTGGGCCCATTCAATCAGTTATAGAATAATACTTCTCTTATTCCTTCAGATGAAGATTCTTTTACTTCATTTCCATTTATATTTTCAATTTCCCCACTAGACATTGTTATCTAGGTCACATTAGGGAGTGATGTACTTCATGAAATCAGAGAGGAATCTATTGAAAGACACTCAAGGTTATGAAGGTTGTGATGTATTGTAACCTCTCTCGTCATAACGTCACATGCTTAAGGGATATTTTTCCATCAGTAATGAGGATGGAGTATGTTAAACAGCAGAAACAATTTGGGCACAAATACAGAGTCTCTTTTTTATATAAAAATAACAAAATCTGCAGGAAATTCAATGAAGTGATAGCTTGAAGTAAATGGCAATGAACCCAGCTCTGGAAAAGGGGGTTGGAGGTAAAGGATTCAGCCAAAGTTTAGATTAGGGCCAAGAGAGAGGGGCTTGGCAGAAAAACAGCCTTTGACAATGAAATATAATTTACTGTCAACGTACTTGTACTGTGGCAGAGGGAATTGGGAAGTCCAATTGCTTGAGACATTTGAAACTAGACTAGAAGATAGCGCACTTGCCTTGCAAATGACCCATGACTGCTGATACTCAGTGCAGTTATCTTCTTCTGCAGCAAGGCCCAGAGCGGAGCAATTGCTGGCAAAAAGGGGACCGAGGAGCACTCAGAGAGTGCATGAATGGCTGGGTAGCCAGGCAGCATCTCCAGAACATCCATGTGCATATTCAAATACTCACATTGTAACAGTGATGGTGGGCTGGAAGGTGATTCCCAGCGCAGAGCAGAGTGGGGGCAAATTGCCCCCATCAACCCTGCTGTTCATTGTAGAGTAAAGCACCTGGCCTAGGTACTGTGGTGGTTGGTAGCTCTATGTTCATATCCGGGTTGGTGGGAAACACCCTTTTCTCCCCCCACCACATTTTTTTTATTTTAATTTTTAAAAGATCAAGTAACTTGTTTGCAGTTTTTTGAGCAGTAAGGAGTAGCAAACATGTATGTTAGTGTGGTAGCTAATGCATCCTGGGTGAAATTCTCCCCTGTGCAGAGCTAGCACAAGGTCTGTGCACCACTTAAGTGCCGCTAAAGTCCAGCAGCTTACGTAATGCATGGGCCAGCAGCTGGACCTCTGCCCAAGAGTTAATGTCGCCCTCTAGAAATGGTCTTGTCTACATGTTCTATGTTAGCACAGTGCTCTGTATTGTACAAATTGATCGTGGAGAGCCCTTTGGGGGGGAAAATCTGAATAATATCTATTTCTTTTAAACAGAAAGACCATCATTAGCCATGTCTCACCTGACATCCTTTATCTGTTCAGAGTTCAAGCAGTTTGCCGAAATGATATGCGTAGTGACTTTAGTCCAGACAATGCTCTTTCTAAGGTAAAATAATATCTATATATATATATATCTCTGTTTAAGATTATGGGATTTTTTTTTCCTGCTTAGTATTCTTTTGCTGACCAAAATGTGTACATGGAATAATATTACAAGGGGTCTGGGTGTTCTAAACGGTGCTAATTTCCAACTCTGATCAGCTGAGGTTAGCAGAACATTCATTCAAAAGAGAAGGGCTCCTTGGCAGACTCTTCTCAGTGATAGGTTGTCAGCTCCTGTAATTACTTCCCATCTCCCGCTGAGTGATCCTTTAGAACCTGGATCTGATGATCTCCAGCGCATATAGCAAGTCCCTTTTATTAGTCCAGGTTTTCCAGGAGAAGGCTATGAGACTCCTTTGTTGGTCTTGTACCTATTTGTTCGTTTTATTTTGTTTAATTAGTATGTTTAAATTTTGTATCTGAGTTTAGAGCATGCTTGTTGGTGCCTTTTAGAAATCTGACTGAATATAAATATATGTAACCTTATTTGAAATCAGCCTTTCGCTACCTAATTTAAAAAATAAATCAAAGGTAGCATAGCCCACTGATGTGGACCATGAGAATTACTGTAGCTGTAATCCACATGTAGCAAGGACTAGGTCTGGTTAGTGTCTGTATGGGATGAAGGAAGGCCCAATCTTACCACGACAACAGTGTGGACAGATTCTTACTCCTGAACACAGTCTCATTGATTACCAAAACAAAGCTATTTTAACTCACTGATATAAATTGTGTGTCACACTCTCATCTCTCACCCATTTCCACTTCAGTGACTCTGAGTAGTGTGATAAGTCGGAGACCAGGAATACAACTTATTGATAAAAATTATAAATCCTAGTCCTAAGAAAAAGCAAAGAGTTAAATTACTTGAGTCAGAAGTTATCTATTAAATTAACAGAGACATTTTTAAGGGTGACCTTTGGAGAAATATGTGGGGTTCAAACATAGTTAATCTGATAATCCTCAACAGCTGAAACTGTCTATGAAAAGTCAGGCAACGGACACGATTCATTTGTCAGATCCACAAGGTGCCGATTTTGCCTCTGGTCCTAGGGGGACCAGACAGCAACTATGAAAAATGGGGATGGGGGTGGGGGATAATAGGCGCCTATATAAGACAGAGCCCCAAATATCGGGACTGTATCTATAAAATCAGGATATCTGGTCATCCCACTTCCAGTGTTATCTTCTCACTGCAAGTGCCTCATTATCTATCACCAATGTGGAAGGGGAGGTTCTATCATATCTAATATCATACAGATGTATGCTGTACACTTCTATCAGATCTAATAAATGTATGCTGTACACTTCACTGTGGTATCTGAGCGCCTGGATCTGTGGGGAGAGTTTTGATCTTTGTTTTAAGTGCCCAACAGGATCAGAAGTTTGTGTACCGGGGACCTTTCACCTCAGCTCTTTAAGCTAAGGGTGAAAGGGACTGAACCACTGAAACGTGACCATGATACTCATTTGATTATAGGCAAAAGAGCCTTCCCAATTACACTAAGAGATCTATAATGGAGGCTACACACACACCAGTATGGCAATGGCAGACGTTAATGTGCTTCCCTCCTTAGCCATTCCCCCTCCCCCCTCCAAAAAAGTAGGGCAAGTTCTTCCAGTTTTACACTGGCTCCAGAATCTAAATTTTAAAATAACTCCTCAGAAGGTATCATCACACTATATCTTGCTGGTTGGAATTGTTTGGCTGTTTATGCTCATGCTAGCCTGCGTTCTTCTAGAAGTTTAAGCTGATAGAAACTCAGATTGGTGGTGTGTATATGTGAGAGAGGGGGAACAGTACACTGGGATGGTTAATATGTAATTTAATTTGTCTAGCAGATGATTACAATTTATATTTCCTTCACCCTTTACAAACTAGTAATTATAAATAAATAAGACAACAAGAAAAACCCTGTTTTGTGATGGCTGGCAGTGTTTTAAAGTATTTTATTAAAGTTTGATTTTGAAACATTGCTTACTCACGTACACACTCTAAACAAACGATAAACACGTACCTAATTACAAACAATACACAGCATGTGGCATGACAGATGAACCTGAAATACATTTCTCCCCCACTGTCACAAAAAACAACTTGAGGGATGTAGAATTGCTTACGACAAACCCAATTCCTTAACTTTAGCCAGTCTAATATTAATTCTGAATACCAGGGACTAGAATCTGATTTCATTATTATCAGCCTAAATTGAGATGAACACAGCTGTAATATGTTTTAAGGTCAGTAGACATTATGATCGTTTAGTCCGACCTGCTGCATAACTGGGCCATAGATTTTCACCTAACTTGTGGGTGAGTAAGAACATATATTTTATGGCTCAGTAGGCAAAGGCCAACATTTTCAAAGCCAAGTGGTTAATATAAGGCTTGTAAATCCATATTTAGGCACTAATATGGATTTAGATGAATAACTTCAGGCACCTTACCTTAAAAATCTTGGCCTGACTCTCAGTTTACACAGGAGTAATTGGGACCAGAATTTGGATTTGGTTGTACATATCAGGCCACTTCAGACATTTTTTACTGGTCTGTGGTTACCATCTTATACACCAGCCACTGTTTCCTCTATAGTAATCCCTAGGCACACTCAGTAGCAATGGATCTCAAGGTTTTGAAATTTTTAGATGCCTTTAATTTCTGAGAAATTATTTAGCAAGAATAACTGCATTTTTTCAGCTTCATAACCCATGTAAAAATTATCCTTTTGTTTCCCAGCTAACACTACTCGAATATTCGAGGGGACCAGAATTGTTAAAACAGGAGTGGTAAGTACTGGACATAAATCAGTGCAGCAAATTTAAAAGCAGTTGTAAATTGTGCCATAATACCCACCAGGTGGCAGCATAATGTTGTAAATCTACTGCCGTTATTTGGGAGGGTGTTACTTGATTTAAATCCTGAGCAAATGCTTTAATAGCCTGTTTCCACACATGGAATAGCTTTATAGCTTCATGATTCTGTAAGCTTTCTTTGGAGAGAAAATATGTAATCCTAATGACGACTGAGAATATGCTTAATTTCTTTTAATAATTAAATGAACAGAGAGGTTCATGCAGTAGGAGCCAGGCAATGTTTTGGCATATGGCATCTGCAGTCTTCCAATGCCGTGGAAATATCTACTTTTGTGTAAATTAGGCCTTAGCAAATTATTTATTTTAATTCTTGATTTCATGTTACTTGAGGCTGTAAGTATTAACTAAGGTGAACTTTCAACAGCTCTTCTAATTTCATATTCCAAAATCCAGAAAGTGCAATAAGCGAATATATTTTACACCACTTACAAATGCCCAGTTTTAGTTCTGAAAGAACATAGTTATGTTCAGTGCTGTAATGTCAATCACATTTATGGAATTCATATTAGAGAACATAGGCTAAGTGCTTTATTTCTGGTTTCACTCAGTCCCATTCTGAATGGTAATACCCCAGTAACACAGACCTCGAACAAGAATGATTAACATTTTTCACGGATAATGTAGAGATGTACAAAATCTGCTGCCAACTTTTACTTCGTCAGCCCAGCTCTGAGACTAACGGCGAATGCCAGAGAAAAGCACATTTCTCAAAGCTATAGAGGTTCAAATTGATAAGCATCCAGAAGTTCAGATGCTTATTTAAAGTTTGAGCTCAAGATCTCAGAAGAACAGGCTCTCCCTTGAGATCTCCAGTTCTTTGTGATTGCAGCTGGGTCAGACAGAACATGAGAGCAGTCTTTCTTGTTGTGCTGCAGCATTTCAACTTCCTGGCCTGGCGGAAAACAGGAATAGCAAGGGGATGCAGAGTATTATGACTAAATGTACTCAGCTTTTAAAACTCTAAAAATATTTGGGGCTGTAGACATTTTATGGGCTGGGTGAAGGTTCAGATCAGTGCCTATGTTTCCCATTAACAGAAGTATTGGGAGCATAAGCTTTCGTGGGTAAGAACCTCACTTCTTCAGATGCAAGACTTGCATCTGAAGAAGTGAGGTTCTTACCCAAGAACCTCACTTCTTCAGATGCAAGACTTGCATCTGAAGAAGTGAGGTTCTTACCCAAGAACCTCACTTCTTCAGATGCA